TTTCGCTCCTTCAAGGAGAAGATGGAGATGGATGTGCGACAAGCTACTGACTACAAGGAATCAATTCAGCAGCTCCAAGGCCGAGTTACCGAGCTCGAAACTATCCGCGCACGCCTGGAGATTGTGAACAAGGGGCTCGAGACGGAACTCAACGATAGTCGTACTAGTCTCAAATCAGTCAAGATGGAACTGGAAATGGCCCAGCAGAAACACACATATGAAGTTGATGACGTACGACGGAGGCTGCGCAACGAAGTTGAAGACTTGGAATCGCGACACCGAAAAGACACAGACCGGTTGGAACGGGAACGAGATGAGGTAGAAAGAAAGACACGTATGGAATTCGAGGCACGGATCGACAAGTTATTGAAAGAGCATGAGGAAGAGATCCAGGTGCTGCGCAAGAAGCTCGACTCGGACTCTGAAGCGGAGCGGAGCAGGCGCGCACAAGAGGCCCAAAAGATTGAGGAAGAGTATGCTTCCAAACTCCGAGCTGCCGCTCTAGATGCAGATGTCAAGCAACGTGAAGCACAACTCCTGCAAGGCGAGCTCACCAATGTCAAGTCAGAACTCGATCGCGAAAGAACCCTCAAGATTGGCCTCCAGAACCAACTAACAGAAGCAACGTCCCTCAACCTTACACTGGAGGCAGCGAACAAGGCTATGAAAGAGAAGATTAACTTTCTCGAATCTGACAGCCAGGCACAGTCGTCCGCCTTCAACGACCTTCACAAGAGAATGCAAGATGCCATTGAGGCGGCGGAAAGAGCACACGACAAACTCCGACAAGAAGAGACATTGCGCCGAAAGCTATTCAACCAAGTCCAAGAGCTTAAAGGCAACATCCGAGTCATGTGTCGTGTACGGCCAGCCCACGCTACCGAGAGGGACCCGGCGCAGATTGCCTTCCCTGACAATGATACCGACAGCAAGGAAGTTGCCATTACCGGTCCAAGCAAACAGAGCGCGACTGGCAAGGATATTACTGCCTCATACTCGTACTCGTTTGATCGTGTGTTCGGTCCGACGTCCCAGAACGGAGAGGTTTTCGAGGAGATTAGCCAGCTTGTACAGAGCGCTCTCGATGGCTACAACGTGTGCATCTTCTGTTACGGTCAGACCGGCTCTGGAAAGACACATACCATGTCATCAGCTGACGGTATGATTCCGCGTGCCACAGCCCAGATTTGGGATGAAGCGCAGCGACTGCAAGAAAAAGGCTGGCGATACACAATGGAGGGTTCGTTCATCGAGGTCTACAACGAAACGTACAACGACTTGCTTGGTCGGTCAGAAGACCTGGATAAGAAAAAGGTCGAAGTCCGACACGACCCTGTGAAGAAGCAGACTAACCTGGACAATGCCGTGAGTGTAATGCTGGATGGCCCTGGCCGTGTCGAGGAGATTCTCGAAACGGCTAGCAAGAACAGAACTGTGGCTGCTACAAAAGCCAACATGCGATCAAGTCGAAGTCACTCAGTCTTCATTCTAAGGCTCGTTGGCACCAACGAAATCACAGGTGAACGGAGCGAGGGAACACTCAACCTGGTTGACCTTGCGGGATCCGAGCGACTCGAGCACTCCAAGGTCGAAGGCGCGCGCCTGAAAGAAACACAGAACATCAACAAGAGTCTGAGCTGTCTTGGCGATGTAATCAACGCTCTCGGGTCGGCAAAAGAAGGCGGTCACATTCCGTACAGAAACTCAAAGGTATGTGTGGGGAGAAAACATTGTTTGCATTGTATATTTGTGTACTAACGAACTATGTCAGCTTACCTATCTCCTCCAATACTCGCTGGGCGGCAACTCCAAGACTCTCATGTTCGTCATGGTTAGCCCGCTCCAGGCGCACTTGCAAGAGACGATTACCAGTCTCAAGTTTGCGACAAAGGTGCATAATACGCATATCGGTACTGCGAAGAAGCAGACCAAGACTTCTTCGTGATAGTGAGGTCTTGATGAATTTGTCCTTTTTCGTTTTTTATGTTTTTTCGGTGTGTGAACAATGGGCTGGAGTAATGGAGAGACTGGTGTGACTTTTGTTTACCCGCCTCCTTTTTGGGTTGGATTGGGTTTTTGGGACTGAATGGGGACACGTGTGGAAAGGCGGGGGGTTTTATACACATATTTTCCCATGTGTTTCTTGGCTTTGGCTGGTTGGCTGTCTACTTACTAGCTTGTCAAATTGGCCAAGTAAAGCGCGGAGCGACTTTTGAAGTGCTCAGGTCGTTTGTGGGGGTTTTTTTGTTTCCTCGGTATTTTTTTTTTCATCTTCAGTTTTTTTTATAAAGATTCTTGCGGCTGGACACTACTTGCGATGTACATAAGTAGTGGCAGCTCATGGGCGAGTTTGCAGAGTAGAATGACGCTTGTTTTTGATTTGTTTGTATTTGATGTGTTCTGTTTTGCAAGTTGCTGGATACCCTGGGTTCTATTCAAGCCATGTCACTTCTCAACCAAAATGTAGACAAAAAGGTATGAATCAAAAGAGATGAAGTGTATATATATAACTCAATCATGACCATGGCGCTAACCCAGACACCTTGCTAGCAAAAGCCCGGTTTCGACGGACGGACCAAAAATGAACAAATCAAGTACGCATACACAAGGGCAGTCTCGCTTGATCATCATACAAACTCCTGCTTTTGCCCTGTCCATGCTTGCTCTCTCCCCCCTCCACTCCCTAATCAGAAAGATGCCTCAGCGGTACGCGCGCCCCTTCAACAGCGTCTATCCAAACAATGACATCTTTCACGGCAAAACAACTACTAGTATCGTTGAGGCTAATCGTCTAAGATTTCGCATCTTGGAAATCAAGATCGAGCTTCCTCAAGTTCAAGCTCGAGCTGCCTGATACGCTCGTCCTTTTCGCGATCAGAAGGCTCAGAGTTGGTAACCTTTGCCTTGAGCTGGGCGACTTCTCGCAGCAGGATGGCAATCTGGTCGGATTGGTCCGACATGACCCTGTTTTGCTGCTCGAGTTGAGACTTGATGTCGCCTAGTGCGTCACGGAGAGCGGATGCAGGGCCACCGGAGCTAGCTGCGGCAGAAGTGGATGCAGCTGCAGGTGCGGCAGAGGGGCTAGCCGTAGTCGCGGACTTGGACTGAGTGGGGGTAGCAGTTTGGCTAGAAGATGGTCTTGCCGGCTCGGGTTCCTTGGTCATGACAGGGCCCCTGGTCTTTTCTTCTTGACGTGCAGCAGTGAAGTTGCGGCGGTCTGCAGGCTTGGGAATTTCCTCGAAGCTGGACGCGCTCTCATCGTCGGAAGCGTTATCCTTGTCTGCGTACTTGGAAGCAGCTGAGGCCATGGAATCCTTGTTGTCCTTCATTGAAGGTGGGGGCCCGCGGGAAGCTAGCGGCGCATGTGTGGGCTCGGGCGCAGCCTTGGGTTGCTCCGTCTTGACAGGCGCGGATTCGGCAGTTGTTGGCCTGGAAGGCTTGTAGTCGCTCTGCACTTCCTTGGGCGCATCACCCTCGTAAACACTCTCGAGCGAAATCTTAGGGGGCATTGCTGTCTTGCCGCCGAACCACTCCTTGGCAGAGACACCAGGCTTGAGGCCATTGGTGGGTGGGTAGATATCGCTCTGGAACATTTCCGATCGGCGGGGCACGATGAAGGATACGGGCTCGATGTAGGAATCGTTGACCGTCTTGAAGCAGCGAAGGACTTCGTTCTCGTGCAGGTTGATACCGCGCTTGGGGAGGAAGGCAATACCACGCTGGGGCTCGCCAGACTTGTACTCTGAGAGGTACTCAAACTTGTCGTTTTCGTATTCGTAGTACCGAATGTTGCCGTCACTGTCATGGTCAGTGGAAAACTCAAAGAACAGACGAAATACACATACCCCTTGCCAGCAAGGTACAAACACTGGGTGCCGTCGTCCCAGAAAGGCATGCAGACACCAGAAATGGAGTCAAGAATCTGGAAGCCGCCAATAGGCTCACTGGGGTTGCGTGGGTCCCAGAGACCAAGTTGACGGTCGCTCATCTTGGAGAAACCAGTGGTTGCAATGCGGTCCGTCTCGCCCATCCATACAGCGCGGCTGTTCTTGGCGCCAGGATGTCCGGGAACCTCCTGTGCAGGCCTTTCCTGACGCACATCCCACACGCGCAACTTCTTGTCTCGGCTGGTGGTGACGAGGAGCGATCCGTCGGCGCTCCAGGAAAGCGACTGGACAATGTCGTTGTGCCTGAGCGAGAGCTGGGGCGCGCCAGCCTCGACATCCCAGAGCTTGACGGTAAAGTCACCAGACGCACTGGCGAGGACGTTCTCGGCCGCGGTGTTGAAGAGGACGTGGCCGACTTTCCTAAACAGGGGGTTAGGGCATGGCTTTGAACGGAAGCGCTCAGTCGCACCTCATGTGACCGCTCAGCCTGGCAACAGGAGCAACATCGGCGGGCTCCTCAGCGTCAGTGTGCAGTGTGAAGCCCTCGGGCACCTTCCAGATGAAGACCTTGCCGTCGTCCGAGGCTGAGGAGATGAGCGAGTCATTGAAGGGAGACCTGTGGGCAGTTAGTGGTGTGTACGACACTCCTTGTCTCGGATACGGGCGTACCAGTCAGTGTCGAGGACAGCGGCTGTGTGTCCGCGGAAGAGAGGCAGTTGGTCGGGAGCTCTGCCGCGCTCGTTGATGGGGATGACGGCAAAGGCGCCGCCGCCGCTGGCCTCCCAGTTGACTGAGATGTATTCGGGGTTTGCCTAGAGGGCGTCAGAAGGCGTGTCGTCGTGGTCGCGTGGGCATGGAGTGTGGGCTGACCTTGATCAGGTTGGTGTCCCAGGCATTCTTTGTGATGCGCAGGTTATCGTAGCATTGTTCCTGTTGACGGGTCAGCAGGGATAGACATGGATTCTGGACGTTATAGCTAATGTACCTTCTTGGTGCCCTTGCCAAAGACATGGCCTGCATAGCTGTTGTTAGCATAACAAGCTGAGCTGGGGCTGGGCATCAACACTAACGGTACTTTGAGGCGCGCACGAATCGGCCTGCCATTGCGAGATGTTAGGGCCGGGGAGGTGGAGGTGGTAAGAATGAGGGACTCTCAGGCCTCGGGGTGGTTGAGTGAGCAGAAGAGGCGCTTTGTTTGAGAGGGGGAGAGGGAGGATGCAGGGCAGTGCAGTGCAGTGAATGGGCTGGCGAGCGCGTGTTTCGCCCTGGAACGCAGTCGCCCGTCGTCAGCGTCTTGGCAGGTGGACCCTCATCATCCCTGGTCGCTCTACCTGTCCACCTCCACCGCGCTGCAGCCCCCCATGCAGCCAACGGTCGCTTCGCCCGCTGCCAAACTGCATGTTCGCAGCATGATCCCCAGCCAGCCGCACCCTCGAACACCCTCTGTCCTACCCGGGCGGTTTCGTCTGCCCGTCTGATGTCGTGTGTCGGGCGTGGATACAGTTGCAAGTCTACCCTGAGTATCTTTCTTCTCAATGGGCTCCGGTCTGGCCTGTTCGAATATGCACATAGCAGCAGCCGAGTCTTCAGGTTGCTGCGTGTGCTTCGACCAAGAGTTTGCATGCACTCGAGTGTGCAAAACAAAGTCCTATTCACCAGTGTGCAGCCAGGGTGAATGAACTAAGCCTTGTCTTGTCTGGTACACCGCAAGCCAAATTAGTAGCTAATATGGTTCGAGCACAGTTACCACTCGACGGATGTTGCCCCTTTTCCTGTCAAAGACCGAGATTTGACATTGTCAGTGTCTGTTGATGCAAATTGGCCAGAATTGGCTAGACACTTGAAGCATTCATCCCAATTCGTATCAGGGATTTCTGAGAACTCTGTTGACTTGGTTGCCGCCATTGACTCTGACCTGTAGAAATATCAATAGAGGGCCTCATTTTGATTGTTGGTGGGCATGAAGGCAAGACGACCGGTGGATACCCCAGCCTCACATAGACAACTAACTGTATAGACAGAGACCATCAATCGCATACAAGGACCTTGATGGGGAAGCATGGGAATGAGATGATTGCCTGAAACAGTTAGAACGTTGGGCTAACACCTCCCTAGTCACTGTGGCTTGGCAGGTACACAGTACATACATACCTGCATCATACTTTGGTGCATATGTACCCAGCGTCTGCCTATTCTGATCAAGTACCTCGCGATTTGCTTGGTGACAGCCATAAATTATACACACGGGTGTTCAATTAAAACTACTCCCGGTGGCATTGCAGAGGCGCAAACACAGCCAGCGTGTTATTAGTCTAATTCCCCAAGAAGCCGAAAGCGTCAGACCTCGGCCCACGGAGGTAGTGCCGCCATGAGTAGCAGCCACGACAAGACTGCGGAGAAGCATAAACAGCTCTCTCTCTCTTTTTTACCTGATCCTGCCCACATTCCCTGACCCTCCAACCTACCATAAAATATATACCAACCATTGCCGCCATGTCTGACGAGGAAAAGAAACCAGTCGACGCGCCCGACGCAACCGAAGCGCCAGAGGCCAAGGAAGCCGTCGACAAGATCGCAGAGGCAGCGCCGCCCGCCCGCCCAAGCAGCATTAGCAAGACGGGCTTACTTGCGGGTGTGAAAAAGGCCGACGAGACTATCCTGAGGTTGAACAAGTAAGTCACTGGTCGGTACCGTAACATGCGCATCATGAGCTAACGACGGCAGACTGCTAGCTTCCCCAGGCGGCCTCTCCGCATTCCTCTCCACATTCAACTACACCCTCTACATCCTCGCCTACGCCCAGACAAAATCTCCCGCCGTCTCCGCCTTTGCTACGAGGCTGCTCTCCCTCATTCGCCCAGCATGCGATGACAGAAAGATACCCGCCACTACCCTCGTCGACAATGGCACCGTCCCGCCCGTTGCCGCCCTCGCCGTCCTCATCTCAAAGACGCGCACAACCCTCCGTCTGACGGGCACCTTACCTCTCTACGCATGGTTGCGCTCCCTCGCCTCGGGCCCCAAGCCAGGCACAGACGTCGTCTTGCATAGAATTGCTACGCTCCAGGCTATGAGCTACTTTGTTTACCAACTGCTCGAAAACATTTCTCTTCTCGCCGACTCGGGCGTCGTCTCTCCCCGCGTCATCTCGGTACTCAACCGCGGCGACCCCAAGACTGCGCGTCTGTACCTGTACGCCTACCGCTGCTGGCTCGGCGGTGTCTCGTGCGACTTCCTCCGTCTGATGCGCGAGTGGCAGATTGAAGGCCGCAGGAGGCTCACCCGCCAGCAAATGGTCGCCGAGGGCAAGGCAATCGCAGAGTATCAGGATGAGGAGGACAAGAAGTTTGACAAGAGGTGGTGGACCGACTTCGTCATTGCCAGCGCTTGGTTCCCCATGGCACTGCACTTTAGCAGTGCCAGCGGTGGTATTCCTGGCTGGAACCTAGGCATTATGGGTGCTTGTGGTTTGATTGCCGGAAGCACCAGGATGAAGGCTCTTTGGGCAAGTACGGCATAAACTTGCTCGTAAGCACGGTTGATTATCTGGGAACTATTGGTGCAGGTCATTACATTTTTTCGTTGCTTAGAATTTGACTTGGCCGGATTACACAGAGTCCGCTTACTCGGATCTTTTTGCTTCCTTTCAGCGTTGTTCCTATACCAATACGCAATCCGTCAACCATGTGCATTCTTCATCTTAAATTGAGACATGCATAAAATCTTGTATTGCTCACTCTTGTGTCTAAAATATACAGCTGCAGTCTGGTAGTTCCAGAGAGAAAAAAATGCTTTCAGAACCGGATGTTGTGTAAAAAGAACAATCACAAAAGACTAGTATTTTATGATGAACATCAAATGTACAGCTGTATCCCCGCCACACTTGACAGCCTAATTAAAGCAAATATCTCAAGCACACGGGCATCTTCTCAGAAGCTACTGACGTAACAACACTATCAGCTGGCTGACTTAATAATTAAAATCACATCTCAGGTATAATCATCTTACCGTCACACTACATCCAGACCGCCAGTTGACCACCAGTGTATTAACCTAGCTATGCGAATAACGGCACCACATGATCCGCTGACACTTATCGGAATTTATGGACATGAAAAAATGAAGAGAAACAGGGAGTACGTGTATGAGTTTTACCGTGCCGGCAGTCACTGTAATAATTTACTTATAATTTTATTTCTCAGTAGATTTACCAAAAGTTAGGGCAACACAGTCAATCTTTACATCATCATCACGCACACATTAATGTTTCTACGCCCCAGTTACACGAGCTATCATTCTTTCCGTTGAGAAAGTATCCTATATATCCTCGAGACCCCGATATTGCAATTCGCATTTACCCAAAAGACGAGCCATCTAAAATCTCCATAGAAACGAGTTGGGTCAAGAATCGTACCAACTCCTCTCGCGATATCATGCTCATTTGTTACCGGCCATCGAAATTACTCATCAGCGATTCGATATTCGGGCAAGCCCGCCTCAAAGCCTCGGGACGACCGGATACTGCTACTCTTTTCAGTCCTCAAATTCTGGCACCTTCATTTGTATCCGTTAAGGACCAGGAAACAAAAAACTACTCATATAACAGCTCGGACTCGACTGACTGCCCTCTTCTTGCTAGAATGGGGGTTGTAAACAAACGGTACTCAGTCGATCTTCCATTTCCCCTTTGTTCAAAAGACGATAAAAAGGTACTCGAAGAATATGTTTTTCTGACTCTCTAAAAACAAAATAGAGTGCTTTTCATGTACAGGTACTTACACTATCCCCCCCAACCTTTCAGGCCCCCGGCTACGCTCGCACATCTACGCCTGGGCCCGCTCGTCGGATTCCTCAATGAGGAACCGTACGCCTTGCCTCGCCCTGGACTCATCGTGGAGACCTTTTTCGTCTAGCCAAGGCGACTACGACTTTTCTTGTTAGTTAGCGCGTTCATAAGGCGTTGATCGACGGCTTGAGATCGTATGCGCGGTACCGGTGTGTTGTGACGGTTAGGCTTGTGGGGGGGGGATGTTACCGAGCGAGTCTAGCAGTCTTGATATCGACTTTGTATGTAACTTCTAGAACTTCCTTTATACTAGATAGTCAATATGTAATCGTCATATCGCGCTTGATTATCGAAACAGACGCAGTCATATTCTTTGATGCTCTTCTGCGTGATTTTTTCCTCTTCTTTTCTCTATGGTTGGCTGAAACTTTTGTCCCTTCCGGTGAAGCTTATGTGCCAAGGTAGCTAAAATACTAGAACATGCCCTCTTTCAACTAGCAGCATGAATACCAGTGAGATGGGCCATGGTAAAGACATTGCGTCCGTATTTTACTTGCAGAAAGCATTGTTGCGTGTAATTTGGGGGGGACGTCCCGCCAGCTCCAGGGCGAGAGAGCAAATGCCATCCGGATGTGACCGGATGGAGATGCGCTAGGACCGGACCGTGGGAAGATTTGACAGCGGGTGTTATAGGCAAAGATAGCAAGACCCTATTTCTCATCTTCGAAACACACACAAAATGGCCTGATGACTGGGGACGCCAGAATGTGATCAAGTAAATTGCTATCAGTCTAGAATATGCAGAGTGTGGCTGACGTGCATGCTCGTTTCCTCCATGCTAAGGGGTGTAGCCGGAGTCATTTCCGGCATGTCACCCAGCGGCTTCCGCTAGATCCGCTTCCACGCCCAAAGCATGTATCTGAAATCCCGTTGCTGGATCCCAGTCTTGTTGTGATGACTTGTTCGAGACAGGTCCATGGGGGAAGAGGGTAGTATGAGGCGAGCGTTTGAGCTTACGGAGGCAGCGTTACAGACGACTGCTACGTCCTTACCGCCCAAAATACCGCATCTACACCCCCTCCCCCCCTTCGGCCCGCAAAAACGTGAGCACCCTGAAGATCTATACGATGCACCACTGTAAAGAGAATACCGAAGCGAACAATCTACCAGGACCAACGACTGCGTATTCGCTTTGGCGAGATGACGAGAGAGAGAGAGAGAGAGAGAGAGAGAGAGAGGGAAAAAAATTTGCCGTCGTCGTGTCCAGCTTACTTACCCACCGTCATACGTCGCGGCGTACCCAGCCAAGTTTTTTTTTGGTTCCTTCATTTTCGCAGGACAGAAGCTTACGCAGCGAGCTACTGCACAGCGACATCATGCGCCGCCGGTAAAAGACGTTATCTCGCCCACTCCACCTTGTGGCACAGCCATTATACGCAGTACGCGGATTGGTGTGGCACCTCGACCAGGGGGAGGGGGGGGTCCATCCATAGGCTCGCCAAAACAAGATTTGAGCGGCGGCTTGGCGAAGCTTAAGCATACGCAGGTGGTGAGGGATTAAGCAGGGCGCCACAAGCTTGGTGCTGCTTAACGACGCAATGCGTGGCTGCGCAAGACCGGGGGGTCCGTCATGCTCCATTGCATGTGTGATACAAGTACCGCCGACGAGCAACCAATGACGCCTGCTGAAGCTGAATTATTGCCGCAAAGCTCTAGCTGAGCCACCACTACAAGGCGCGGTGTGATGGTCCTGCGTGCCGTCTCTTACTATACGCGTAGTCCCCCCGCCCATCCCCACCCCAGCCTGGGGCCTGGAGAAATGACAGGGCAAACGAGGCGGTGCATCCGGACTCGTGCGAGACCAATGACAGCCCTGACAACTGGCAAGTGTCGAAACGGCGGGAAGGGCATGCCAGACCCCTACCCTTGAGGCTTGAACGCGAATTAGCGGGGGCTTAATTCTGTTACGCTTTCTATCGAAGGTTACTTGGTTTGTTCAAGGCCAGCTGATCGGCATTGCCAGTGATATAAAGGTCTATCTGTCTGCCCGCTGTTAGACTTTCATCCTCATCAACACATCTCATCAACCAACCAACCAACCAACACTCACTCACTCCACCTCTCTTCTCAACCAGTAAGCTACTTCCCCCCTTCTACTACCCATCAACTCCCCTTCTAATCTTCCTTCTTCTTCCAGACCAACCAACCAACCAACCTCTTCTTCCAAAATGCCTGCCAGCGTCGCCTCCTCCATCTCCACCATCGTCAAGCCCACCGCCCCCAAGTGCGGCGAGTCCTGCGAGTGCTGCGGCTGCGACGAATCTTGTTGGTGCACTGTCATGTAAAAAAAATCTACCTTTTTTTTTCTGCGACAAATGTCATCAAATACCGAGTACGATAACATGCAACAACGGGCATGAAAGCGGGGTTTCTTAGCGGGTGAAAGGAGTTTTCTTATTATGGTTGGATTTTGTTGGGGGTCTCGTTTTTTTGGGGAGGAGGAGGAGGGGGGATTTATAGAATAGGCATTACCGATTTTGCGGTAGTGGGAAGGGGGGTTAGGAGAATTTTATCCTTTTTTCTTCATCTATTTTGTTGCTTTGAATGTGGGATTTTTTTTTATTTCTTTCCTTTTTCTTTGCTTGTAATCAACATTTGGTGATTAGGTCATGAGGGGATATTGGCACTTTGGCATAAAGTAAGTTGAACAACTACTATCAAACGCAGAGTCACTGAAACATCACACAGTTGCGAAAGAAAACAAGTATTAAGGTTTACTACCCAACGAATATGGAATTCGCTTTAAAAAAGCAATTTGGAGAGCAGTATTGAATTCGACCGTATACAACAAAGAGTAAAGACGATGGATAATTCCACCATAACGAACCGGCCTATTTCTCCAACGGCACCCAAAGCAATCTAGCCTCTCTCTTTCCACTTCCCTCGCCGTTACCTTTTCTCGTCACAACAACGAGAACCATGACATCCCTAGGCGGCAACGGTTGAAGGTCCCAGCCTAGAATTGGTGGTCTCTCGGGCACATGGCTATGCGTAACAGACCACTCGATATTATCCGTAGTCAAATCGGCTACTCGTTGTCCATCCACGAAAACCTGGATACTGGTTTGTGACACAGCGTTGTGCAGCGTACCATGCACTACCATTGAAGCATTTCCAGAAGTTGATTGCCCATCCGCCTTGACATCAATACCCGCTACCACCGGTTCAGCCGCCGCCTCAGCCGTCACCGCCGTCGCAGCAATATCCGTCGGCACCCCCGGCGTAAGCGGCGGGGCAACCCGCGCCCTCGTCGCTGTCTCAAACGCATACGCAAACTCGAACAACTTTCCATCCTGATACGCCTGGCCCGCAAACGTAAGATTAACCGGCATCTTCTTTTCGGCCATGACGCCCATGGGCACGCTGACGGTCGGCACGCCCAAGTGGCGAATCGCACGATTCCCGTTGGAGTACTTGACGCCGTTGCGCAGGCTGTGCGTTGTGCTACCGAGATTGAATTCTAGATCTGCGAGGCCGACGTCGCCTTGGGCGGGGAATGCAACGACGTCTAGCTTGTGAGTAGCCATCCAGTCTTCGAGATCGCGTTTGCGCTGGGCTTCGAGCGCCTTGAGAGCTTGTTCTAAGCCCTCCACCTCGTGGATACTGTTGGTTTGAACGAGCTTGGGGAGACCGGCGTAATCGATCCAGTTGCGGACTTCGAGAAAGGTGTCGGGTTTGTAGTCTGGGGGCTTGGGGAATAGCATTGCCGAATCTTCAATGTCTGCTAGACATTTAATCCTAGCGTCGTTGTTTTGCACGAGAAAGGCGTCCCAGGCTTGTGCGATGAGGATACTGCGCTCCATGAGGTTCCAGTTTGCTGGTTGGCCTTGTACGTTGTTGGCTTCACCGGATACAGAGTCGTTTTCGTAATTTGTAACGAGGGGAAAGTCGGTGTAAACGACTTCTGCGCCTAGATTTTGAAGAGTTTTGGCTGCGTTTTCCCACAGTGCAATGACCTCTGGTGAAATATAGGCAGGCTTTGCGTATGGATCCGAGTCTTTCTGGCCGACATACATTTTTGGAACACCAACCCGTTTTCCTTTGAATGCTTGAGCACTGCGCAGAGTCGTGTAGTCTATCCGAGGGGGCTGGGGTATTGGCACATGCTTTTGTTCTCGCACAAAGTCTCCTGTTGTATCTTGGTCCGGTGTAGCAATCACATTCAGAATCTCCAGCATATCACTAACTGAGCGCGCATACGGTGTGGGCACGTCGCACGTGACATACAACGGCCACAGTCCCCGGCAACTCAGTAGTCCTTTGGATGGCGTGTAGCAGACGAGGGCATTGTTTGAAGCTGGACTGCGCCCGCTGCTAACAGTCTCACTGCCCATACCGAATGCCCCCATGCTTGCCGCTACCGAGGTTCCTGCTCCGTTCGAGGAACCAGAGGAGAAGGCTGCTGTAAGATACTTTGAATTATAAGGCGATTCTGCGCGACCATACATTCCGCGTTGCATACCCCCCGCAGCCATAGGAGGCATGTTTGTCTTGCCAATCAGAACCGCTCCTGCATCCCGCAGCTTCTTTGCAATTGCAGAGTCCTCACTTGACATGACACCTTTGAGTGCAGGGGATCCTGCAGTTGCCGTCATCCCAACGACCTTGTAACTGTCTTTGATCGTGTAGGGTATGCCTTCCAGGGGTCGTGGCTCCAAACCCTGTGCGCGACGTGCATCAGAGGCTGCTGCTTCTTCAAGGACATTGTTGTTGAATACAGTAAAGGCACCGAGGCCTTTGCATGTGTCGTAGCGGGCAATACGGTTTAGATATGCAACGACTAGGTCGACACTGCTTGTTTTGCCCGAATTGAGGGCATCGAGGTGGTCCTGGATGCTGGCCTCTACAATGTCGAAACCATGTATTTTATCATCGGTCTTCTATATGCTTGTTGGTAGGGTTGGCTCCGTCTCATGATCTCAACTTACATTGATGCTTGCCATCTTGTACGTCACTAGTGCTGATCAGATGATGTCTACTGAGCTGCCAGAGTGCAATTTACACAGGACTCCTATGCGTCGAGGAGAAACAGGTGTTTTTATTTGATAGGCTCAGAATAATCAAAGATATGTAGAATAAACTGGAGTTGCCTATCTTGCAGATGAGGGTCCCTTCCCCACCTCGGTGTTTGTATAGTCGGCTGCACCTTCTCTAAGCGGTTAGCTTACGTGGTATCAGCAAGTCCGCGGGCATCTGATAGCTGGACCATGTTCCACAATTGATTGACCGACTGTATGAATGGATATAACATGAGCGTATGTTTGAGTGCAGTCGTATAGGTATAAGTGGGCGATAGACTAGCATGATAGGGGTAGAGGTATGATAGAGCATGTGTGTGACTGGTTGCCATTTTGCAAACGATATATGAGATATGATCTGCAGTAAGGCTTGTATCTAGGTTGAGATTGCTGGGTATATAGCGCGGGTTCGATTGTGACTTGGTAAACGCAAAGAATTTATAGACTGGAGAAGTCTCATCATTCATCGTTGCTGTGACGTTGGTTACGACTGGAGCTCCGGCTTCGTGTGCCAAGTCTTGATCGACTTTGTATGCTTTGCTCTCCCGGGCTGCGACTACGACTCCTGCCTCGATCCCGACTATCGTAGCTTCTGCTTCGACTGCGGCTCCGACTCCGACTGTCGCGGTCCCTACTTCTGCTCCTGCTTCGACTGTCGTAGCTTCGACTCCTATAACTTGCTTCACTCCCGACACTCCTCCTGTCCATATCCTCATCTAGCTCGTCCACCTCGTCTCCCAACGGACTTTCTCTTGGGTCCAGCATATCCAAATCTTCGAGAATTGCCCTCGAAGGCAACTTCCACAAGCTCGTCGCACAGATGCGGTCTTTTGTGAGGAGATCGTCAATGAACTGGTCGACGTGGGTAAGGGTAAATGTGTCTTTGAGGCGGCGCTTGATCTTGCGATAGTCTGTGAGCAGAGGCTCTAGTGTCTTATAGATTTCGACAGGTTCCCAGGCAAGGCGAATGTAAAAAGCAGCGAGGCAGCGGAGATACTTGAAGCAGCCGAGCTTTCCCGCTGCATTCAAGTCAAGCTCCTTCTTGGCAGAGTCGTCGTCGTCGTTGGCTGCCGCGTCGCCATTCTCTTTCTTGACCTCGGCTTTGTCATCTTCGTCGTCCTCATCGTCGCGAAAGTTGAGGTACTCGAGAATGATTTCCTTTTCCGGGACCAGCTGGAGCATCTTGAAGGCCAAGCACAGGAACGGCGTCGGTTTGCCTGTGATGCCCGTAGTGCCACCGATGAACTTGAGTTCTGCGGCGCGATCGCATAGTGTTGCAGTGTTCAGACCGAAGCATTGTTCCTTCCAATAGTACGACTCGGTGATGCGCTCGCGCACACCCTTTTCGAAGAGGAGCGCTGGGTTCTGGCCACGGATGAGGGCGCCGCGGTATCCTCGGTCGTCGAGGAGCGCGCTCGCGTCGGCGCGATCAAATTGCGGTTTCGACATGTGCCGGGGCGGGTCGTGTTGACTGTATGGATTTCGGATATGCTGTCCCAAGTGGCGATTAGGACTGCACGCGCGCCGTTATGTTCCCGTTGCGAAGATCGAGGTAAGCTTGCGGGTTGGGGTCATGGTTGGGATAATTTGAGACAGGGTACTGATGGCTAGCTATCGATTGTTGCCCCTTCAACGACAGGCAAGATGCAGCCCTACGGACATCGGGGCATCTAGAACTCGACTACATGTAACGCCAATGCACATTATACACTTTCTTGCCCATGCACCACTTGGTATTCTGCACGCTCTCTCCTTGACTACCAAGACCGTTTTGATACCCCTTCTGTTGCGCATTCACTTGTCGTGATGGGCCGCCTCCTTCTCACTTCGGGGCAGGTCTCGGTCCTCTTGTCCATTACCATTGGTACGTCTGGGGATTGTCTGATGTCATGCCCCTCGACTGACAGGCGCACTTAGTCTTCTTCTTCACACTTGCCCTCTTCCTGTCAGGGTGGGTGTTGCAGCAACGCTATGTACACTCGCTTCAAGCCGCCATCAAACCACGACTGCCGAAGCCGTTACCGCCGCCCAAACCAATAGAACCACCAACGTTGGATGCAAAGTGGGCGAGGCCCATGGGCAGCCGGCCAGAGGTGGACGACACGTATGCACAGTACATTTCAGGCCTGACGATGGACTGGAGCAGGCTGGGCTACGTGCAGGTTGTGCGCGAGCATGTGGAACTGTGCAGTGCCGTCATGCTGCTGTCGGACTTGCATAGGATGAAGAGCCCCGCCCGGAGGATATTGATGTTCCCCAAACTATGGCTTGCAGAGTCCGAGGACGACAAGTACAGCGCTGAGATGACGACTACGCGGAGGCTGCTGCGGACAGCGGCGAGGCGGTATGGAGTGAAACTGATACCGATGGAGCCGCTTGTGGAAGGCGCAGACGGTGAGTTTGTTGACAGTCAGTGGGCAATTGGTGGCAGGCGCTTATGAGAACGACAGACACACTGCCCTCGTCGTACTCGCTGGCCAGTCTGTATTCACTGGTAGACTACGAGCGGCTACTGTACCTCCAAGGGCCGGGCGTGCTGCTGGATGCGTCTGCACTCGACTCGCTGCTTGCCTTTTCCAAGTCGGAGCCAATGGCAGCATACCCGGCCACGGCCGAGCGGACAGACATGTCGACGTCGCTGCTCATGGTTCACCCGTCACAACAGAGTTACAACCAGCTGCGGGCACTGCGGGCATCCAAGGCGACGTCAGATCTCAACATGTTCCGCAAGACATTTAGCGTGCCTGACTCGCTCATTTCCGAGTGGTCGCTGTCCATGGGCAACGTCGTGTACGAGTCGCAGAATCTGCGGCAGGCGAGCGACGACTTCAACGCGACGGCGTTTGAGCAAGCGACGACGTTTGTGCGCCTGAGCGATCCCGAGCTGCCGGGGCCCGAGTACGACGTGCCGTATGCTGAGCGCGCGCGCCTGCGTCCACAGAACGAGGCAGCGCAAGAGGCATGGAGCGGGCTGTACGAGCGCTTCCGGCAGCGGCGCATGGAGGTGTGCGGCCTGGACCTGGAGACGTATGAGGCCGTGGCGGTGTCTGGTGGGGCAGCTGAAACGGAGCGGGCAGATGCCGAGCTCTGAAACGAGCAAAACCAATGTTCATGTATGAAGTCACGTCTAGCATCTGGATCGGGTCATGGGATGGATGGCATGGGAACACGAGAGGCTACTTGTGTGTACGAGTTCTCTGTGTATACACATGTCTTTGTTTTTTTTGGGGGGGGGACGTGGTGTTTTTTTATTTTTGTGATTTGGTGCAATATGGAGTTGGGTAGTAGTATGTAGGGTGATGGTACACCTACGGTCAGGAATGAAATGGACGTGGCGCTAAAGGGGGAGATGCATGGATCGGGGCCAATGTGAGAGGGTGCCTGTCCGGTGTGGGCAAGGCTGGGGGGGCTGGGGATGTTGCGGTCATTGACTGGGATTGCTCGATGCTGGTACGCATGACGCAACAAGCCATGGCTTCCGGCGGCCGCGCTGCTGACGGGCAAGGGACGGGCTGGATGCGGTGCGGTGCGGTCGGTGGGCGGGTGCATGTGGGGTGAGAATGTGTGTATGTATACAAACATAGCTCTTGTAGTATAGATGTAGTAGATGTAGTAGATGTAGTATAAGGGCCAGGTCAATAACAGACACACCGATAGGGTGGGCAGCCAAACGCGCGGGTGAAACAGTGGCAGCGTGCGTAGATGCGCGGGCAGACTTGCAGCTTCTTCCCCGCCGAAGCCTCCAAAGTCGTATCCTATCCTATCCTGTCCTGTCCTCGACGACGACTACGACGACGCACCACCGCCAGCCAGGACTAGCGAACGCCCCAAGCCCCCAAGCCCGCCGCTCTCTGCCCGCCCACGCCGCATCCGCAACCACCAGCACCAGCCCCGTCGACGACCTCATCGTCCCATCCATTGTCCGCTCATCACCACCTGCGCCAATGCACGCGCCCTCGTTCGCTCACTAGACACTGCTGACATCGCCCCCGCGACCTGCGTTGAAGCACACCGGCAGCGCAGCGCCGCTGCACGAGTCGACCCGCCCCTCCAATGCCTACCCTGGGCTTCCTCAAGAAGAAGCGCACAAAGGACTCCAACGGCTCGCGCGACCTCGACTCGCCCGCCTCGCCCACAAAGGACACGCACTCGCCCGTCACGCCCACCGGCTCCCGCAAGTCGGGCTCCTTCCACCTGCACAAGACCAAGACCAACGACTCCAGCACCACCGCCACCTCGGCCCACGACGCCACGACTGCTGCTCAAATCTCCACCTCGACCACAAACACGTCCGGCACCGGCACCTCGTCCGCCTCCACCGCCCCGGGCGCGCCTGCCGCAACCCCCAAGCCCGTAGACTCGATGAACCCCGCCCACGCGCACCAGCAGCAGCAGCCGCCGCAACAACAGCAGCAGCAGCAGCAACACCTGCAATCGCAGCAATATACAGCCACAAGCCCCCAGTCTAACCCCCAGCACTCGCGCAACACGCCCAGCATACAGAACCTCATACACCCCAACAACACCACCACCACCACTTCCAACACGTCCTCCTCGCACCACTCGTCCGCTAAGAATGGCGCCGTCCAGTTCCAGACACAGCCCCTCAACCAGGCCCGCGTCACAAAGGGCAAGTACTCGCTGACCGACTTCACCATCCAGCGCACCCTCGGCACCGGCAGCTTTGGCCGCGTCCACCTCGTCCAGTCCAAGCACAACCAGCGCTTCTACGCCGTCAAGGTGCTGAAAAAGGCCCAGGTCGTCAAGATGAAGCAGGTCGAGCACACAAATGACGAGCGCCGTATGCTGCAGCAGGTCAAGCATCCCTTCTTGATCACGCTCTGGGGCACCTTTCAAGACTCCAAGAACCTCTACATGGTCATGGACTTTGTCGAGGGCGGCGAGCTCTTCAGTCTGCTGCGAAAGTCTCAGGTACTTATCCTTCTCTTTCCATCTCCCCTTGTTGCACAGTGATTTTGGGCATCAATGGACACTAACTCGCATAGCGCTTTCCCAATCCCGTCGCAAAGTTCTACGCCGCAGAGGTTACGCTCGCGCTAGACTACCTGCACTCGCACAACATCATCTACCGCGACTTGAAGCCCGAGAATCTGCTCTTGGACCGCCATGGCCACCTCAAGATTACGGATTTTGGGTTTGCCAAAGAGGTCCCCGACATCACATGGACCCTGTGCGGAACACCTGACTACTTGGCACCCGAAGTCGTCGCTTCCAAAGGCTACAACAAGTCGGTCGATTGGTGAGTCGCGAGCACCAATTCATTTTTCGGCGCCTACTAACAGCGCCAGGTGGTCATTGGGTATCCTCATCTTCGAAATGCTGTGTGGCTTCACGCCCTTCTGGGACGGCGGCTCGCCTATGAAGATCTACGAAAACATTCTCAAGTCGAGAGTAAAGTACCCGCCCTACATCCACCCTGACGCCCACGACCTCCTGCAAAAGCTCATCACGCCGGATTTGACCAAGCGACTGGGCAACTTGCACGGTGGCAGCAAGGACGTTATGAACCACCCTTGGTTCGCCGAGGTGACTTGGGACCGGTTACAAAAGAAGGACATTGACGCTCCATACGTACCGCCCGTTCGCGCCGGAGTCGGTGACGCCAGCCAATTCGATAAGTATCCGGAGGAGACGGAGGCATACGGTCAGGCAGGGGACGACCCGTGCGTGCAGAGTCCTCCTTACACTGTAGATCATATTCTGACGTGTCCGAATAGCCACGGGCACCTGTTTCCCGACTTCTGAGCATACCAAGCCCTCAACTCGAGACACAATACCATCTTGCCCGTTCCTCCTACGAGTGACCTGCGTACGGCAATTTCCTGATCAGCGTACCTCTGCAACGTCCGCCGACATCGTACCTACTAAAATACAGTCTTCATCATCTTCGAAACATCGGCCCTATGCGCTTTTCGGCTCTGCAAGTCTAATCCTTTGTGGCTTGCCCTTTTTTTGTCCTCTTCTTCCTGCTATTATTGCTATGTTTGCCAACCACTGGGCTTACTGTCATCTGCATATCGTGTCACTTGGATCAACCGATAATGCCCAACGAGCCCAAAGTGTTGTTTCCCTGTTGCTCCATGGTATGATAAGGCGGGTTATTGGATTACGGCTGTCGCATACTTGGCGCAAACTGAAAATATGGGGCTATGACCAATGCAAGGCGTAAGCCATCAACATCAATGATTCTTCGAGTTCCGTTTTCAAGTGACGTTGTCTAGAGAAGACGACTACCATTAACAGCCAATACATGCTTCTCCCTTTAAGCAACTGCTCCATGGTAACAGTTGAAAAGTTACCACAGGAAAGCCAAAAGGAATGAGACTTATACCAAAGTTTGGCCAGCGTTGTAGTGCATCGGCGTCGCACCCTACACCACATACTGACGTCAAGCTCCCGTCCCGTCCGGCACTAATTCGTCCCAAATA